CGTGAACAGATACATCACAAGAGGATGTATGAAGTAATTGTCCTTTAAGCGCATAAACTTTTTGCACGAGCCTCACAAGATTTGTCCTCTTCATTTCTTGCTTACTAAATGTGCATACGCCCAAATTTGCATTTTAAATGTGTCATTTTTTTTCGAAAAAGAAAGCCTGCTCAGCATATGCTATGTTGGGTTTATTTAAAAAACAACTGACTTATAAACCCAGTCCGAAAGGCATTGTAAATATACAGTGAAAATCTGTATATTATTTTATATGATGACAACAAAAATCAAAAAAATCCTATTCTATATTTTACAGGAAAGGCTTTATTATGTTTCTTCAACAAAATATAGGTGCAGATGTAAGAGCATTTAACGATAGATAAATTTAACGAGTAGATCATATATTTATAATAAATGAAATTACAGTTCTTAAAATGTTGTTAGTCGGGGTTTCATGCCGAAGCAATCTTCAGGCAACAAATGATACAAAAACGGTTGTTTCTTGCTTTGCTATTTGATTGCTAACGCACGCGGTAATTTAAAACGTCCCCCGTGGAAGTTGCGCGAATGGATACACTTCGTGTACAGTTCACTGTGCTTATTCAAAAGATTGTTTTTATCACGATAAATATGACATTATTGAAACTATTTTGAACACTTTATAGAACTAACAACACCACCAAGGACAAAAAAACACAGACTAAAACATGTACTACCGACAGAAACAAAACTGCCCATGCACTTAACAGAAACTGCCACAATCATCTGTACAACGATCAATCATGGAAACTAACACAACAGAGACCTACATCGGACTTACAAAAAGCGAATTTAAGACTCGACACAGGAACCACACTGCCTCTTTCCGTCAGGAAAAACTAAGGAGCTTAACCGAACTCAGCAAACACATATAGACCCTCAAAGACAACAGCATCGATCACGATATCTCATGGAACATTATACCTTAATTTCTTCCTTAACTTTGTATTATATTCATACTTAAACACATGCTTTTGTAATTATTTAACAATATCGCCCGAACAAAGAGAACTTATGAAACAGGCTTGTCGAGATGAAATTGTATTTTTGTGAATTTTCCTCCTCCTTACAATATATATATAACAATATTTATAACTTTAAAGATTTGTAATCCATAGTAGACATATTGTTTTGACGTATATTATTTTGTACTATGTTTGTTCAAAGCATGAAATGTAGCGCAAAGTATACCCTATACTTCTTGACATTATTTTGATTTCTAAAACATGCTTTAATTGGCTTAAAACTCAGCATGTATCTTTTAGCCTTTGTCTGTACAAAAATACCTTGAACCGCTATGTTTTTCAAGATCTTGCGTTTAATTACGTATACTAATAAATCAATCTCCCGTGATAAACAAGCAGTTGAAAATATCTTTTTGTTACAAGGAAAGTTCAAACCCAATTTGTTTGAGTTCAGCATTTGTAAATGATGTAGAGTATGTCAAACAAGTCATGCGGCTGACATCGTGAACTTTGAGTGTGTCTGGGGAAGGGGAGAAATGGAAAAAAAACAGCCCTCTCCTTTGCGCACAAAGTAAAATGTTGATCGTTGCTGAAGGAATACATGGAAAATTTTAAATATCTTGTCAAATAATTCCATTTTGGTGTATTCTAATCATTTAAAATCACTAATACATTTTTAGCCAATGTACTTGTATTTCAAATAAAATTACAAAAGAAACGCTCCAAAAAACCAAGCTTTTGTTTAAAAGAAGTAATATAAAAACTGTGTGTACGTAGGCATCATATGAGCCCAACACATCCGTCAATATCGAATCTGACAACGTAAATAATATTGTCAAGCTATATATCAAATCGTATTCGCCCGTTTTAAACTTTGATTTTTTCAAATATCGAACTTTTTCTAAGTTAGTGTGATAATTGTACAAAACGTACACTCTACTTTGTGTTCACTGACGACAATAAGCACAAAAAATTGTATTCAATGTGACAAATGCAGGTTATTCAAAGTTTAAACAGATGTTAAAGTAGTAGCAGACTAAGTAGCGTTTCTAAAGGGGGAGATATTGTCATGTAGTTTAACAAATTATATTTCATTTTATGTCCCAAATGCAAAGTAAAATTGCTTGCATTAAAATCATGATTAAATAGTTAAACTTGCTTTAGATGCATCACCAGACGATGCAAGCAGTCCTTTTCATAGAAGGTCACTGTTTTTACGAGTTCTATAAGCCCCATGAAAAGACTGCAATTGTACAAAAATTTATTTACACACTATTAAGTTCAAGCGCCGAATCAACAACAAAAAAGATGTTAAATAGAAATGGCAAAAATAGCATCTTTTTTAGGTGCTATATTTAACACTTTTATACAAGTACTACATTAACAGTATTGACGGGTGTTTGGCGATTACTGTTTCTGGTGTTATATCAACGCTTTTGGAGGTTACTTTGAGTCTTGTATTTGTGTAACAAGAAAAGCTTCTGTGCTTTTTTCACGAATTATAAGGAAAACTTATAATAGTGATACAGATATTCATTAGTTGGTCACCTTTGGTCACCTTTCTCCGCTGTGTCCTGCTCGGGTAGCGGGTCTTTGCCGGAGACCCAGTTCTATCAGACTTCATTATATTCATTAGTTAATAAAAATTAATAAAATAAATTATTATTAATAAATAAGTTATTAATAAAATAAATAAATTAATAATTATAATAAATTAATTAATAACTTAGTTATTAATTTTATTAATAAAATTAGTTAATAAAATATTATATTCATTAGTTAATAAACAATAAATAAATACATACGTATGAGTTCATGAGAAAAACAGGCATACAGTTTGATATAAAATAGATTATTCAATGAAAATGTGAGTTTATTCAGACTATTCTAAGTAAAAAACATGTTCAGTTAGGTATTAACTCTTAGACACTCTTAACTGCTGGTGTGTGTTCACTTAAGGGTTCACAAGTTGTGGCAATACAGAAAGCTGTTATTCTTTCGAGACCCTTACAGGGTCTAGCTTGTTATTCATTTTGAGAGCATAACGCAGGGAAATTCCTGGTCAAAAATAATGTTTTACAATAAATAATAAATTATGTACTAAGGAACCAAAATATTTAAGCTATAGATATTTGTTCAGCAAAAGCGGTATAAAATACATTGTTTATGACAAATGAATAACAACCAGCGCGTCATTATTATAACTTGTTAAACGTAAGCAAAGCAATAGTTTGTAATGGAAGAGTCTTTCTGAAATCATATTGTTTTTATTATTCATCGGCGCCATAGCATAGAGGATTCTTGCTATCTGCGCTCTTTTTATGCCACACGATAAGAGGATTCATTTATAGCAGATGTTAAAAGCAACTGCGTCTAACTATTCAAAACATAATTCATAACTTCCGTTAGTTCAGTTTAAATTAGCAGCGTAGACAATGATGCCAGAGAATGCTAAATAATGGAATGAATTAACACATACAGAAAATTTATTTGACTTAAGTGCTTCAAATAATTGCATGTCGTTTTTATTAAGAGTTTATTTGTGTTATGATATGAACTGAAAAACCGTATTAATTTGTGTAAAAGTTGATTACCGATTTACATATTTGACTTGCACAACTATGGCAAGCCAAACCTACCAAAAGTGTATCGAGATTTATATGTCGTATTAGAATTACTATAAGTCTATTCGAGATTCGTAAAGTGGTACTCGAGATTACTATAATGCGGTGTGAAAACTATATTATTATTGTTGAGTTGTGTATGACGAGATTTATATGACGAGTTTTATATGACGAGTTTCATATGACGAGTTTTATATGACGAGTTTCATATGACGAGTTTTATATGACGAGTTTCATATGACGAGATTTATAAGACGAGTTTTATATGACGAGTTTCATATGACGAGATTTATAAGACGAGTTTTATATGACGAGTTTCATATGACGAGTTTTATATGACGAGTTTCATAAGACGAGATTTATAAGACGAGTTTTTTTTATAAACTGTAACAGTGTAAAGAGATTTATAAGAGGTCACGAGTTGTTTACAAACTGTAACGAGATTTCCCAAGATGGCGTCCGCTAGTAATGCAACTTATTTCGAAGCAAATGAAGAACTTACTGAATTTTTCCAAATGTTGGATGCATTGTTTAGCCATTTAGAAATTGCTATAGTACTTAATGATACTCTTGATTTGGAACATTGTAAATGCAAGTTAGAACGAAATCTTCCAATTGTTACAGCAATGCTCGTGGCCGTTAACAATGAAAGATATGACGACACGATAGACTTACTATCACCTCAGCCCTCATTTGTCTCGCTGTTGGAAAGATTAAGTGTTGGAATAGAAGAGGAAATACGCAGGCTAAGAGCGATCTTGGATTACACGTCTCCTGAGAATAGAAGAGAAGTTATTTCATTCCGGTCAAGTACGGGAGGGAGGCCTTGTTTTGATATAACCAAAGTACAGATAGAGCAATTACGAGATACCGGAATGAAATGGAAAAGTATAGCTAGCTTCCTAGGTGTATCAGAACAAACAATTTACCGGAGAAGGATTGAATATGGAGTTGAGGCTAGCTTTACAGACATCACCGATGATAGTTTAGATGGGCAGATAAGAGATATTTTAAGGCTTACCCCATATAGTGGAGAATGTTATATCAGGGTAGTTTAAGGGCTAGAAAGATCTATGTCCAAAGAGAAAGGGTCAGAGAAAGTCTTCGGAGAATCGATACTATTGGAAGAAATATGCGAAGGAGGTATGCGATTTGTAGACGGGTTTATAACGTTCCCGGGCCGAATTTTCTTTGGCATATTGACTCAAACCATAAGCTTATATCCTGGCGATTCGTTATCCATGGTTGCATCGACGGGTTTAGTCGGGCAGTCATTTACCTAGAGTGCTGCGCTGATAATAGAGCTCAGACAGTAGTTGATCTTTTCAAAAAAGGGATTGGTGAATTCGGTTTGCCTTCAAGGGTTCGTGGAGATCGAGGTGTCGAAAACGTTGACGTAGCACGGCTAATGATATCACGTCGTGGTGAGAATAGAGGTAGTTTCATTGCCGGGCGAAGTGTGCATAACCAAAGGATAGAACGGTTGTGGGCAGAAGTAAACCGGGTTCTTTCTGCTCTATACGTTGGTGTCTTTAAATTCATGGAAAACGAAAACCTGTTAGATCCGTTCAATGAGCATCATCTATTCGCCCTTCACTTCGTTTTCAAACCACGTGTAAGTGCGTCACTTTCGGAATTCAGGGAGCAATGGAACCATCATGGACTAAGGACTGCCGGTCACCAAACCCCCATGACACTTTGGCAAACGAACATGATTCCTGTTGCAGATGAATCTCCTATTGTTAACTTTGAAGAATATGGTCTAGATTCAAATGGCCCAGTTCCAGACGTCGATACAGATAATTATGTTGTGGTACCTGAAAACATACTGCAGCTGACGGAAGAACAACTGGAGCTTCTATGTAGTGAAGTCAACCCCTTAAGCGATGACGGCAATTATGGAATCAATCACTTCATACAAACACTTGATATTGTCAACACATTTTATGTTCAGTGATTGAACTAATTTATGATCAAAAATCGAGGTAAATAACAAATATAAATAGAGGATGCATCGATCATATACTTGAAGCAATGTCAGCAATGTTACCGCGTGTGAATGTGCATTAATTATTTAGGTTAGCACTATTTTCCACCCAGCAAACCGTCCTTTACTTTGAAATATAATATTTTACACAATATAATATTTTACACAATCTAATATTTTACACAATATAATATTTTATGTAATATTTTACACAATCGTCGAAAACGACATATTTTCCAGCCTGGATTATAAGTTTATAGCTTAAGGTGGTTGCATGAAAATTTATACTGCAACATTTATCTGTAAATATTTTCATATTTTGATATTAAAACTGTATTATAAAATATAAAATTACTCGCCATCTCAAAACGACCTAGCACCAGTGCATGCATGGTTTCCTTTTAGCTTTTGGTTCTTTCCCATTAGCCGCCATCTTTAATTTATTTCCGATTGTGTAAAGGGCGGTTTGCTGGGTGGAAAATAGTGCTAACCAATTATTTACTAGCTACCTTAAAATGAAAATGGGTGCGATAAGGTCCTATCACATTTAACCATATCGCGATTATTGTAAGTAAAGCTTCCAAACAAAATAAAGAATAAATAAGTTTGTTCCTTTAAACGACTTCATCATAATTTGTACAGTTGGATCGTAGATATATCTCTGATCGTCCGTACATATCAATAGTGTACAAATTATAAGTCGAACGATTTTAATAAAATTTCAATCAAACGTAGTTATAAGCATTGTTCAAGATGTAAAAACGAACTGTTAACGTAATTTTATACAATGTCAAATGACCAAGATTGTCCTTCCTTCAATAAGTTATTGAACTCAGATGCAAGATCACCATAGCTCTCATATGTGGTAGGAATTTCTAAACAAGGTCCACATGTATGAGCAATAGGTCGTCTTTGGAGTCCACTTAGATTTGAAAAGTTACTTCTATCGATGTGCAAGTAATACAGTCGCTTCCAGTGATGAAATGGAGAAATCTCTCGATAGCTTTACCTTCTAACGACCGAATGTACCTTTTCAAATGATCTATTGTAAGGCGCTCTATTTCATTTCCGGTTTCGGCGTTAATCAATTTTATTAATTTTTTGGCCGTAGGTTGCCTACTGGTATAAAGTTGAAGAATGTCTTCTTGTGTTTTAAAAATGTCATCGTATTGGAGCATTCTTAAAACTGGAGACCAGCAGTGAATTATGTACCGTGGCTTTTGAAGAAGTTCTTGGTGAGCCAACTCGAACATAATCTCCTTGATGTTATCTTTCGTCGGAAGTTTAAAACACTTGAACATTGAGAGAAAGTCAAGAATGTCTTCGTCTTCGAGGTCACAATTTTCGTTCATGCAATTATCAAAACTCGGCGATCTTCAAGAGTCACGTAGTCACGAAAGGAATTCAGCAACAACTCTCTACTTAAATTGTCCTCTCCGAATAAGCATGTACATAGCAGTGCCGGTGATATTTTCATAGGAAAGTATTTCAGCAGGTTGTAACCGTAGACAATAACTCTAGCAATAGACTGCCAATCATTTTTTTGCATGTCGTGCCTAATCATAGGAATCTTATCGCTGGAGCCGAAACAGTAGGTGTTGTATACCTCATGCCAAAAATGTGTCAAAACATCCAGCATTACTCCTTTTCCTTTCCCTTTTTCTTCCCTGCCACTGTAATCAATCACGGTGGGGCAAACCAAACAATTAAGCACATCTGCATCATTAAAAATGGCTATGACATCTTGACGTATTGTAGTTCTGTGCACAATAACAGCTCTTACTTCTCTGTTCTCAGCTGGCAAAGACAGGAATGGAGTATCTATCAATGCGGAAAAAACACCTGCAGAAAAAAATTCAATTGCAATTCAGACAAAGACAATATACCAGTATTTTCAAATCATATTACCAAGATCTATGAATTGATAATCTAAATTAGAACAAGGCCATAAGATGAGAACCTGCTTCGTTCAAAGAGTAAGATCATCAGTTTCAAGGAGTGTGCTAGTTTGAGTTGAGGAGCCAGTTGCAGACAGTGAACCAGTTTCAGCCACACCATCAGTTGCAACCACACCATCAGTTTCAGCCACACCATCAGTTGCAACCACACCATCAGTTTCAGCCACACCATCAGTTGCAGGCACAATATCAGTAGTAGGCACAGAATGAATTTCACTGGTTTCAGATATGCTTATATCATCATCATCAAAGGTTCATCTATTCCTATATAACATATTTTTAACAAATTCTTGCAAAACTATTGCAATGCATAACAATTTGCATATCATTATAAGCATATTCATTTGAATCGATTGCTTTTCTTTACCTTATAAAGAATAAAAATTCTGAGTGACTAAAATCTTGTGAAAATGAATGCAGACTACAATAATTAAATTAAACTATTTTAAAAGCTAAGTGCCCAAATGAGAGCTGTCTTATCTGAATTCATATGAATAATTTAATCAAGGTGAACAATAGTCATGACTTAAGTTTCTTAATTCTGAAAATTTATATAGATTTGCTAAAAGAAAGAATATAAAATGATATACCTCGACATATTACTGTCACAAAAACAATTGTAAAAAAAGTTTGTTTGAATTTAAAAAAATACTTTTTACATTATTTTAGTGTACAATCACTTGATCCTCTCTTATGACAAATGTGGAAAGATCCCTTGCTTTTACCCAATCTATGTATTTTACCTTCACTAGAATTGCTGCCTGGTTCCTGTAAATGAACAACATATCAGTTTTTAAAAGCACACTATTTACATGATGAGCATGTAGCAATCTAATTCTCCAACCTTTGTTGCATTTCCCATGTTAAGCAGCTGAACACTAGGTCGTACATACACTGGCTTTTGTGCGTATAATCTGTGGAGGATAACACCATCCAATGTCTGACCAGGGGCTAATGTTGGCGCAACCAGAGTGGAATGTACCGATGTTAACAGTTCTATATCTGTACCATGCGGAATTTTTCCATCAAAGGCCATCATTATATTAGTTTCGACAGCAGCGGCTGACAAATCTTTTGAAAACCGACAACCTGAAATCATGTGTCCATTTTCTACCAACATCAGCCGAGTGCCTTGCCGTGGAACTGTATTATCTTTGGGGCCGCTTAATAGGATTAAATCTCTCAAAATGGCCTGTTATCAATTGCTGTTGATGAACGAGTTCGCCTTGTTCGGCTTCTTGCAGCAGGTCTACTTGCGGGAAAATAGCGCCTCGATTGAAATGCAGTGGATGAATTCCTTCTAATTGGGAGGCGATTCTCTATTGTGGCTGTTGATGCCATTTGATTAGGGTGATGCGTTAATTCTCTGGCGACTCGTTTCAGCATTTGGTAAATTGTATGCCGTCCAAATATAGTTCTCACTTCTGACCTTACAGAACTGTCCACGTCAGGTGATATTCTTTCAGACAGCTCTGTAACTCTGCCAAGAAGTTCCTGAATAATTTCTCTATTGCTCATTTCTGTCATTTAGGTGAGAGCGATACAGTATAGATAGAAAATACAAAGTTCCCAACCCGCCGAAATTTTGCATATAATTAATAACTGCTTTTGAAACAAACACGTGTTCTTTAACCCAATACTTCATGTTGTTAGAGGAAAACTCGCGATATAAACTCGTCATATGAAACTCGTCATATAAAACTCGTCATATGAAACTCGTCATATAAAACTCGTCCTATAAATCTCGTCATATGAAACTCGTCATATAAAACTCGTCTTATAAATCTCGTCATATGAAACTCGTCATATAAAACTCGTCTTATAAATCTCGTCACAGTTTATAAAACAACTCGTCATATAAATCTCGTCATACACTACTCGTACCGCTTTACGAATCTTGAATAGACTTATAGTAATTCTAATACGACATATAAATCTCGATACACTTTTGGTAGGTTTGGCTTGCCATACACAACTTTGTGATGGTGTCATACATTTTTAATGTCATTCCATTTATTGTCATAATAATTTTGAATTTGCCGGTTTATGTTGCATATTTTCTTAAATGACGCTTGCCACCAATGAAGGTGATAGTTTGACACCCTAAAATTAACAGTGCATGTCAAATTTGTTAAGTTTCCGCAGATGTTATTGACGAGCTAAGAAGGACACTTCAAACTTTGCATTTCAAATGAATCAGTTTTTCTCATAAAAGAGAGCATGCTTCACTGATGCTATATTGTTTTTGTTTAAAAATAGCTGACATCTAGAAGCAGTCAAAAAAGTGATCTAAATATAAAATACATTTAGTAAAAAAATTTACATGCTGATAACAACATCCAAAAATTGCATGAAATATTTTACATGAAAGGGTTATTATTTTTTGTCCACAAAAGAGAAATAAATATATCATCGAGGTAAACTGATTCTTTATGATTGAGTTTTTTTATTGTTGCGCATTAACGTTATGCCATAAACGCAAGTAAATATCACTTTAATCATGGTGTGTGACAGTTATTTAATTTGATTTTCAGCCAAAATTCATATTTATAAGATACATATATACGATGATAGAAAATTTCAAAGCTTGTTTTCCTAACAAAAACTTTTTAAAATTTCATCGATGAAATGTTCTGCAAACTTGTGTAGTATAAGAATGCCGAAATAGTGCAAGAAAAGAAAATATTTCATGACACGGGTGAACAAGATAATATTGTTTGTCATTCAAAAAGTCGGGTTAAATTGTTGTTTGTCAATACTTGAAATGTGATGGCATTTGACACGTATTTTGTTCACGTTTTTTACTACCTAATTTTTTTTTAAACAGTGTTTTCCCAATAAATTTTATTCTTTTCTTGAGGCACTAAGCAACCAATTCTTTTCGAGCTATACACGTCTTGCAATCAAGAGAGCTCACTTATAAATAATTAGGATTTGTTTATAATATTTTTCTGAAAAAATAATGGTTTGTCAAGAATAGAGTTGGGTTAAAATTGAACAATATTTATGTTAAAAACACTGTGATAAATGAAGTATGTTGTGTGGTGTAGGGAAGTCTGCAATTTGTTCAGGCTATGTAGATTATTTGGTGTTTACTTACTGTAAAAAATATATTTCTAGAGAAATGAATAATGATATTGGTGAAAAACGTACCTAGTATAAACAAATATTCAGGCTGGCTATGCAACTGTTCTAAGTACGTTAATACAATAAAACCCAGATAAGAACTGCTCTGAACCAAGATATGTTTCCATTTACAAATTTTTACTATAGACAAGCTTATGATTTTGTGCATGAAAAGTTTGATTAAGCATTGCCTCATCAGATATCAATCCACACTTGGTATATTCTTAGGTTATCCAGGATTCACATGGAATGCTTTAGTTGCAATGAAGTCAAAGACAAACAAAAAGAGGGAGAAGAGCCGGGAGTGGATTGGAGAACTAGAATTTAAATAAAATCGATAACTGAAATCAATTTGCAATTATAATCAGTTTTAAATTGCAAAGAGTCCAGATGGACCTGTGGAAAACAACTAGTTTCTCCCAAGATTACTAGTTTCTTTGTACAAATTCTATTTTTTCCCAAACTTGATTCTTCAAAAATTTTGTAATACCAATTACTTTTACTTTTAATACACAAGACTATTTATAAATCTTACAACGCATGTTGACACTGTTTTAATGTTTTATTCTATTGCAGCAATACACAGTCTTATGACAGAGAAGCTAAAACTCTTTGATTTCAAAAGTTGTAATTTCAATAAAGAATAATTTCGATTCATTTAGTTCTACCCTGCAGTTGTTCAAGGATTGTACTGAATAGTTTACTATCCTATTTTAATATCTTGGTTGAAAAGTTTCCAACTGAAAACAGCATTATATCACAATTTAAGTTGAATTCTGTTCTTTTTCTAGCTCACCAAGTTTAAGATATTTGCTTTACATGTACTCAGTAGAACTGCCAGAAATATCTGAATCGACATAATCCAGTATTAAAGTAATTGGTTTGAAAATGGTTACAAACATGTAAATGGTTACAAACATGTAATAATCCAGTATGATAAATTAAAACAAAATTTATAGATATCCATTGACCATACTTAAAACTGACCGTACTTGTCAACAACAAGATTTAACTAGACCTCGGGGGTTTTCTCGTGGATTTGTGTGCATAGTTTCTAACACTTATAGATCTAATCGATAAAGATATTTTTATCAAGCTCTTTACGAATACATATTACAGAGAGCAAAGTTTGTATATAAACTTTAAGTTATTTTATGTTCACGGTCCCACTAAGGAAATCCGTCTACTGTTATTTAACTTATTTTTAATCTAAAATGTTGTTTGACTATTCTTTAAGTTTATTTACCGTAGATTTTCTTTATATAATTGCGTATGTGTTTTGTAAAACCTTAAAGCATATCTCTGCATCAAAAGCGTAACGGTTCTTGAGTTTTTAACACTGGTTGAATTTGTATTGAACAGAATAAGTTTATTAGAAATTAGGAGAGAGAGAATAATAAAATTAATTTTTCAAGGGAAGTTTTTCATGCAAAATTTCCTATTTGCCGCCATGTTTTTGATACCCGGTTCCAGACCCCTTTTCCCTTCCAGGTAATTTATAATTATAATTTTCAAACGTGAGTCAAGAAGCACCCTCTAAGGGGGTCGAAGGGGCATGCTCTGCCGGAAAACTTTGATTACTAGGGTGTCGGAAATGCAATTTCCAGCATTTTAGAACGGACAATAATCTTATTTTATGACTATCATTTGTGTGCAAAAATATTTATTTTCTAACATTGAATTACATGTTTGTAAATGTAGATTGTCCAGGTTGGTATAGTCCTGAGAAGGACTGTTTTTGTTGTCGTTGACTGACGTTTCGACAACCTTAGCGGTAGTCATCTTCAGAGTCAAATGAGGAGTAAACGTCAGGTTAGCCGTATTTGTTATCTGGTTCTTACGTCATTGTATTGTGTGTACAGGAAATGTGTATTGTCATTGTGAATTAGTGTGAAGTGAAATGTTTTTAGTTGAGATGTGCGATTTAGGTGTGATAAAACAATACAATGACGTAAGAACCAGATAACAAATACGGCTAACCTGACGTTTACTCCTCATTTGACTCTGAAGATGACTACCGCTAAGGTTGTCGAAACGTCAGTCAACAACAACAAAAACAGTCCTTCAGGACTATACCAACCTGGACGATCTACATTTACAAACATGTAACGATACTCCGGGTTCAAACCATTTACATTAACATTGAATTAGTTATTAAAATGTTTCGCTGTTTCGCCTTTTGTCAGGGACTCATCAGCATGTCTAGAAATCTGACTGTCGTTTTTATTTGACAGCCTGACTCTGACATGGACATCTACATACCATCACAAACTGCAAAGAGTAATTATCAATCTAGAACTTTTAAAACATTTTAAAGGGAAAAGGTCCCCAAAATTAAACAAGATAAACAATATGCACCATCCTCTGATAGGAAATAACAAAACCATTAAAAATCTTCAAATCACTCATATCTAAAACTCTCTCGTTCTTATAACGGAAGGGAGGGAAAACATAATTCTTTTGAAACCTAAAAACATTCCCAACCAGATTAGAGATCTCATTGGTAGATATACTTTTAACCATTTCTCTATAAAGGGCTGCATCAAATTAATTATTAGGTGCATGCCTTGGTTTGCAATCAATTGTTTTAAGCTTTCTTGTAAATGCACAGATTCAGAGAAATATTCTGGCATAGTACAACTAATAGAAGCCGCACTGGATTGAGCATTATTTTTCATGCGATACCTTTACAGCAATGGCTGCTACTTCAACAAAAGTCCTAATCATTGTTTCTTCTTTCGAAAACTTTGAAAATAGTACCTTTCTCATTTGCTGAAATTTTTGGTCTCCGCATGAGAAATATGTGAGGTGGAATTGCTACAATTTGAATTTTCCTCCGAACCCTTTGCTGCTGATGTTGCTTCAAGGCAACAATCATCAAACGCGATGGCCTTGATTCGCGAAAAAATTCATGCAGCAAAGGGTTACACACGTACAAAACTATGGCGTACGTGCGACGTACGTGCCCGAAAATCTTCTCGAAGTTCATGCAACGCAAAGCACAACATGCGCGATAAATTACATACGGCAGTTAGCTAGTAACAGC